GAAGTGGGCTATGTAGCTACTCACGCTGCAGTATGACGTAATAAAACGTCATAAAACGTCACTCCCTAAATCATTGAACGTTATCCTCAGCCTACATCATCGTCTTCCATGCCCCGTCATGATGGATTTTTTAATTGACTTAGACATGAAAACCCACGTTTTTTATTCCACTAAATAAAGGTGAATAGTCCCAGTCTCTTACAGAGTGCCTTGGTACACACAAAATCAGAGGACATCGATGTGCCACAGCCCGATGAAAGTCCTACTCGATCTAACTGCGCTCTAACATGCTGAACATCGTATCAGCATTCACTCTTATTCCGTAACGTTACTCTCGAGAACCCACTGTTTTTATTGCATGCATGGTCGCTTACTGAATGCATTGTGACAGAACCGGTATGAAAATATTCAAAAACAGAGGACATCATAACACCACCGGCTCCTAAAAAGTGTAGGGTATTTTGACAACGTCTCTAAAACATAACCCATTTTGATCGGTCCTATGAATGACATAGACTCGAGAACCCATGTTTTTTATTGCATTTAATGAAAGAAAATAATCGTATTTTCTTATAAAATGCGTGAAAATATTCAAAATCAGAGGACATCGATGTGCCACAGCCCGATGAAAGTGCTCTTCGATCTAACTGCGCAGTGCGCTCCAACATGTTGAACATCGTATCAGCATTCACTCTATTCCGTAACGTTACTCTCGAGAACCCACTGTTTTTATTGCATGCATGGTCGCTTACTGATTGCAATTTGACAGAACCGGTATGAAAATATTCAAAAATAGAGGACATCATAACACCACCGGCTCCTAAAAAGTGTAGGGTATTTTGACAACGTCTCTAAAACATAACCTATTTTGATCGGTCCTATGAATGACATAGACTCGAGAACCCATGTTTTTTATTGCATTTAATGGAAGAAAATAATCGTATTTTCTTATAAAATGCGTGAAAATATTCAAAATCAGAGGATATCGATGTGCCACAGCCCGATGAAAGTGCTCTTCGATCTAACTGCGCAGTGCGCTCCAACATGTTGAACATCGTATCAGCATTCACTCTATTCCGTAACGTTACTCTCGAGAACCCACTGTTTTTATTGCATGTATGGTCGCTTACTGATTGCAATTTGACAGAACCGGTATGAAAATATTCAAAAATAGAGGACATCATAACACCACCGGCTCCTAAAAAGTGTAGGGTATTTTGACAACGTCTCTAAAACATAACCCATTTTGATCGGTCCTTTGATTGACATAGACTCGAGAACCCATGTTTTTTATTGCATTTAATGAAAGAACATAATCGCATTTTCTTATAAAATGCGTGAAAACATTCAAAATCAGAGGACATCGAAGTGCCACAGCCCGATGAAAGTCCTACTCGATCTAACTGCGCTCTAACATGCTGAACATCGTATCAGCATTCACTCTTATTCCGTAACGTTACTCTCGAGAACCCACTGTTTTTATTGCATGTATGGTCGCTTACTGAAAGCATTTTGACAGAACCGGTATGAAAATATTCAAAAACAGAGGACATCATAACACCACCGGCTCCTAAAAAGTGTAGGGTATTTTGACAACGTCTCTAAAACATAACCCATTTTGATCGGTCCTATGAATGACATAGACTCGAGAACCCATGTTTTTTATTGCATTTAATGAAAGAAAATAATCGTATTTTCTTATAAAATGCGTGAAAATATTCAAAATCAGAGGACATCGATGTGCCACAGCCCGATGAAAGTGCTCTTCGATCTAACTGCGCAGTGCGCTCCAACATGTTGAACATCGAATCAGCATTCACTCTATTCCGTAACGTTACTCTCGAGAACCCACTGTTTTTATTGCATGTATGGTCGCTTACTGATTGCAATTTGACAGAACCGGTATGAAAATATTCAAAAATAGAGGACATCATAACACCACCGGCTCCTAAAAAGTGTAGGGTATTTTGACAACGTCTCTAAAACATAACCTATTTTGATCGGTCCTATGAATGACATAGACTCGAGAACCCATGTTTTTTATTGCATTTAATGGAAGAAAATAATCGTATTTTCTTATAAAATGCGTGAAAATATTCAAAATCAGAGGACATCGATGTGCCACAGCCCGATGAAAGTGTTCTTCGATCTAACTGCGCAGTGCGCTCCAACATGTTGAACATCGTATCAGCATTCACTCTATTCCGTAACGTTACTCTCGAGAACCCACTGTTTTTATTGCATGTATGGTCGCTTACTGATTGCAATTTGACAGAACCGGTATGAAAATATTCAAAAATAGAGGACATCATAACACCACCGGCTCCTAAAAAGTGTAGGGTATTTTGATAACGTCTCTAAAACATAACCCATTTTGATCGGTCCTATGAATGACATAGACTCGAGAACCCATGTTTTTTATTGCATTTAATGAAAGAAAATAATCGTATTTTCTTATAAAATGCGTGAAAATATTCAAAATCAGAGGACATCGATGTGCCACAGCCCGATGAAAGTGCTCTTCGATCTAACTGCGCAGTGCGCTCCAACATGTTGAACATCGTATCAGCATTCACTCTATTCCGTAACGTTACTCTCGAGAACCCACTGTTTTTATTGCATGTATGGTCGCTTACTGAATGCAATTTGACAGAACCGGTATGAAAATATTCAAAAACAGAGGACATCATAACACCACCGGCTCCTAAAAAGTGTAGGGTATTTTGACAACGTCTCTAAAACATAACCCATTTTGATCGGTCCTTTGATTGACATAGACTCGAGAACCCATTTTTTTATAGCATTTAATGAAAGAACATAATCGCATTTTCTTATAAAATGCGTGAAAATATTCAAAATCAGAGGACATCGAAGTGCCACAGCCCGATGAAAGTCCTACTCGATCTAACTGCGCTCTAACATGCTGAACATCGTATCAGCATTCACTCTTATTCCGTAACGTTACTCTCGAGAACCCACTGTTTTTATTGCATGTATGGTCGCTTACTGAAAGCATTTTGACAGAACCGGTATGAAAATATTCAAAAACAGAGGACATCATAACCCCACCGGCTCCTAAAAAGTGTAGGGTATTTTGACAACGTCTCTAAAACATAACCCATTTTGATCGGTCCTATGAATGACATAGACTCGAGAACCCATGTTTTTTATTGCATTTAATGAAAGAAAATAATCGTATTTTCTTATAAAATGCGTGAAAATATTCAAAATCAGAGGACATCGATGTGTCACAGCCCGATGAAAGTGCTCTTCGATCTAACTGCGCAGTGCGCTCTATCATGTTGAACATCGTATCAGTATTCACTCGATTCCGTAACGTTACTCTCGAGAACCCACTGTTTTTATTGCATGTATGGTCGCTTATTGATTGCAATTTGACAGAACCGGTATGAAAATATTCAAAAACAGAGGACATCATAACACCACCGGCTCCTAAAAAGTGTAGGGTATTTTGACAACGTCTCTAAAACATAACCCATTTTGATCGGTCCTATGAATGACATAGACTCGAGAACCCATGTTTTTTATTGCATTTAATGAAAGAAAACAATCGTACTTTCTTATAAAATGCGTGAAAATATTCAAAATCAGAGGACATCGATGTGCCACAGCCCGATGAAAGTGTTCTTCGATCTAACTGCGCTCCAACATGCTGAACATCGTATCAGCATTCACTCTATTCCGTAACGTTACTCTCGAGAACCCACTGTTTTTATTGCATGTATGGTCGCTTACTGAAAGCAATTTGACAGAACCGGTATGAAAATATTCAAAAATAGAGGACACCATAACAGTACCAGCCCCTAAAATGTAGAGTATTTAAACAAAGTCTGTATTATACGAGTCATTTTGATCGGTCTTTTCCTTCACTTTGACTTGAGAACCTATGCTTTTTATTGCGCGAAATGAATGAGAGTCATCGCATGTTCATTGTTCCTATTGAATGCATTATAATATGCAAAATCATGGGACATCGATGCGTTTCAGCCCGGTGAAATGCCCAGTTGATGAATAGCTGTTTGGCCCATTTTAACACCGCGTCGGCATTTACACAGCTTCCGAACGATATGCCTGATAAGATAACATGAATTCTTAGGTATTGCGAGCTGTGGGGCCTGTCCCTGTGTTCATACGCGATACCCATTCTGGCATAAAAAAAGAAGACATTCTTAGCTTGTAAAGATGTGAAGTAAAAATAGGTTTTTGGTCTTCTCATTATGTTTAAGTGATATTTCATTTCAAGCTGCGTGTAGAGGGATTTATTTTCAGTGTTTTGTAGAAAATAAGGGTGAATTAGCTGTTAAAACCAACACTTATATAACTACAAGCTTGGATAGTAGTTTCTTGGGTTAGAAGGTTTCACTACAGGGATGAAACTTTTGCACTACAATGACGAAAACGTCATCAATCGTCATCAGATATCGATGATTTTCTGAGAGAGCACTTCCGGCAGAAGAAAACGCATTACACAAAATAATCGAAGTGTCTTCACTTGTTATTTATTACACTATGATTTCACCTTTCGCCGCCAACACAGCCGCATTACCGATCTAAACCTCCCACCTCCCACTACCGTTTATACAATCGGGGTGGGGCGGTTTTCGCACTACGAACTGCAGCGTTTGCAGAGCTTATTGTTCACACCAGCGTCACCGATAGCGTCGATAGATCCTGTGCGGGCTGCGATCCGAGACAGTTTATGGCAGGAGATAGTACTTTTGTCTTTTGATGTGTGTGCTCGGCGAGAACCAGGGTGGCCGTATTTAATGCGTCGCTGTATGATTCAGTACCGAGGCTGCGAGGAGAGATGTACTTATGGTGTGATTGATTGGTACATTACTGCAACGGCGCTGTTTTGATCACCTGATGGGACACAAGATATAATTTCTGTTTCGTTAATATGTCATGTTTGGTACGTTTGTAAGTGCATCTGGGTTAAAAACAGTTCAATGTTAATAATCATTCCATTTCTGTTTCAGTTAAACGTGCGAAGTATCATGGCCCGCAAGGTATGTATCTGAGCCATATAGGTGCTTAAAGAACATAAGATAATGCTTTCCACCTAGTCAAATATAGCACGATATGCAATACGGCTTACCAAATTATGGCATCGCAGTAATCGATTTGGTGTTACCGGTCAGATAACGACTAGGATGCTACCATGCGTGCAATATGACGGTGAAAACCTTGCAAATTGAATATTTACCATAAAGTCAATCCTTCTCATACCGTACTCTGACTTTTTGTACTGTTTTGTTTCAGCAAACCAACTTAGCACCTATGTAACTCTGAAGCTTCAGCATGTCAAGTCGACTACGGTTACCGTCAAGGGCGCAGAACCATGCTGGGAGCAGGATTTCTTGTTGTAAGTGTCGGGCATCACAAAGCCTTGGCGGTTGGCCAGCTGGCTGGGCTGCAAAATAATGTAGCTACTGGTGCGATACCACTAACTACATTATTTTACACATACGCAAGTGGTGGTGTCTGCGTAATGCGGTGTGGCGAAAAGCGTGTTTGCCCTGTCCAGTCGGTCAGAACTATTGTCCTAACAGAAAAAAAACTAAGCTTATTAAAACGTACTTCAAGCATCCAGTCATTTTTGCTATAAAGCAATCTTAATATCTTATTTGAAATTATTTTTAAAAGCCAGAGAGACAATTTAATTTGGTGCCATAGGGTATTTATAAACCCTGGATAATCCGCTTTGACATTAGTCCTAAACTCTCGTCAGTTTTCCGGTCGCCGTCTCCAGCTCTTTGTTAAAAGGGATTTGGTTCCCGAATCAGCCGTAACCAGCAACAAAGAAAGAGCTGTTTCGTCGATAGTTAGGTAATAGTTATTGACCTGGTTGAGAAGAATACAACTTGATAAAAATAAAGGGGTTGATTCCACAAGATTGGTCGGGTTTCTTTTTGATGAAACGGTGAAAAGCCATTGCCATCTCAGACATCATTTAGAAGTACGCAGGAGTCATTCAAGTTTTAGTATCAGTTTACAGATAAATATTTACGTGCACATTCATATCAAACTGTGCATTTTGTCCATTTGCACCCGCTTATCCTGTCTGTTACCCGTCAGACCTCTCGGAAGCCACACAATATTACCGTGACCTCTCTTCCTTCCTCCGCTCCTCCCTCTATCCCTTTCTTTCCTCTTCTTCTCCATTTTTTTCTCTCTCTCTGTCTCTCTGTCTCTCTGTCTCTGTCTCTGTCTCTGTCTCTGTCTCTGTCTCTGTCTCTGTCTCTGTCTCTGTCTCTGTCTCTGTCTCTGTCTCTGTCTCTGTCTCTGTCTCTGTCTCTGTCTCTGTCTCTGTCTCTGTCTCTGTCTCTGTCTCTGTCTCTGTCTCTGTCTCTGTCTCTGTCTCTGTCTCTGTCTCTGTCTCTGTCTCTGTCTCTGTCTCTGTCTCTGTCTCTGTCTCTGTCTCTGTCTCTCTCTCTCTCTCTCTCTCTCTCTCTCTCTCTCTCTCTCTCTCTCTCTCTCTCTCTCTCTCTCTCTCTCTCTCTCTCTCTCTCTCTCCCATGCCGTTACCACTGGCGTCGCTCCATCCGTACCCCGTCATCTCACTAACACAGTGCGCCCATCCTGCCCCAGTGAGACCGAACAAATGGATACCGGTCTTCTGGTGGAGGTCTGGAGCAAGGGCCTGCTCTGGGACAAGGCGCTCGGATACAGGTGGCTGCCTCTGACCGACATCCAGTACTCAAACGAGGTGAGTCTGCGGCACTGGGATAGCGGGGAGGGGTGTGATTGGGGGGGGGGCGATTCTGATCTTAACGCTAGTCATCGCCGATCATCTCTTATTGGATGATGAGTGAGTGAGTGAAGCTTGGGAAACTCAAATGAAAGGTCAACCGCTTATTTAGTTAAATCTGGCAAGTGCCTTTCTTCTGAGTTTATAAGTAAGCTCATAAAAGAGTTTATGATTTGGATACAACATTCTGCAGTACATACATAGTAAGTAAACGTCAGTTGTACTGAAGTATTACATTTCATTAGATATCAACCCGTCCTTAATTGTGTGCCTGCTGGTGATAGCTATATTGCAACGTGAAATAAATGTGTGAAGAAATTTGGACTCGGGAAGCCACAATCCTTCACATGAATCATACTGATATCCCCGATTTACCACGTGAAATTCAGTACGTCCTTTAGATCACCCGAGCGGTCAACTTCGAAAAAGTCTGATCAAGTTGATGACTGACTCAGCGCCAATCCCGAATTAGCCGCACACCCAACTGACAGCAGCGCTGGGAGTTTTCGGTTCGAGCTGCACCCTGCAGTGCTGGGTTCCGTTCGGCTGCCGTCAGACTGTCAGCGGAGTGACGGCCAGGTCAATGGACTGCCAGTCGGCGGGTGTGGACAGTCTCCCAGCGCGGGTCGTCCCGGGAGAGACACCCGGCTCGGTCCACGTGTCGGCGGGAGCGAGTGAACCCACTCGGAAGCAATCGGAATAATCTAATGCTGCATACGATCATTTTTCCACTGTAACGACCCTCTGGAAAATTCCCAGTATATCGGGGAACACGAGAGGCCATTGTGATAGCGGACCAAAAGGGAGGTCCGCTTTGCGCAACCGATGACCAACGACCACGTGTCATGGCCCAAAATAGCACCTCCGCTCCAGGAATATCCCAACAATCTAACTAAACGCTCACCGAGCTGGTCCAAACTCATTGCGCCGCACTCTGGGCTGGGTGTATCGGTCGTTTGAGAACCGCCAGCGCCGCGGCGGAGCTGTCGTCTGGGGTCGATCTGGACTGACGCAATCTACTGGTGCGGGCCCGATTGCTGAATGGCCCGTCTGACGTGACTGGAAACGCGTCTGTGTCCCTCTGGTGATCGCGGATCTGTCGTTACAGCAGCTTCAGAGCTCTGGGAGTCGCCGCCACTTCGTCTCACTGTAGGCGGGGCCGCGTTCTCACTCGTCAGCCCCCCACAGACAGGTATCGTGTGACGTAGGTGTGCAGTTATGGAAGTATTCAGAGGTAGAAGGCACCCTTAGAATGTTTAGAGATGTCCATAATTGTATACAGAAGCAGTCTGTTCACGAGAGCACAGCTGCCTGGGATTAGTTAGACAAAAACGATTCGGGGCTAGATGGAATTGAATTATAAGCGAGAATGCTAGATCCAGTAGCTTGTCGTCGTTCAGAAACAGCCGTCTTGCATCGATTCCTAGGAGGTATAGGGCCTTTATATAGACAATGGTTGCAGGCCCTTAGTGGTGTCAAGGGACCTAAGTTCGATCTTTCGATCTCCTGTTGTTGTTGCCGGGCTGGTTGCGATGTTGCAATTTGCATCGGTAGGGATTTAGTCCGGCTTGTTTGGCAGAGAATGAAGAGCTTTAGGGTGGCACCTTTGTATAGCCGGCGCTAGATGTAGCTAAGGGCGCATGCAGTTTGGAGAGTGAGACAATAGCAAGAACTGTAGCAGCAGGGAGGTCACTATTCTTGTTTGATTTATTGCTCTATTTTCGTACAAAATATGCATATTGTTACAAGAAATGTTGGAAAAACTCGACCATTTTTGCCGTTCCATGCTATTTTTAACATCAAATGCTGCAACGATACGACATCATTTCACGCTTGTAACTTAGTACGGTAGTTGTTTGTGATCGAAAGCAGTCACGCATATACATAGTTCAGTTCCTTTTACCCTTTCGACATAGGTACAGTAATGGCAGAGTGTAGGCGTTAGGTTTAAAGTGAGGCTGTGAACGAGAATTAACTCATAAGTTTACCCTAATCAATTGCTCGTCATGAAACCATTTATCCCAAAACATGTAAGCAAAACAGATATAACTTCAAGACACATCCATGGCTTGTTCAACTCAGCCCAATATCGCGCTTCCAAGAGCAGCGCTCCCAATACGGCGAGCTCGGGGGAGGGATCGGGGGGGGGACACCAATCACCAGTCGGGGGCCTGGCGCTTCCGCCAGCCCGACCTCGCGACCGGGACACATGCGCCGCTCCGTCAATACAATGACGTCATCTGTGACGTCACACGGCGGCGAACGTCAATTCATCGTCAGTGAAGTCGGCCGGACGAGGACGGAGGGGCTCTGTCGGACTACAGAGTTATCGAGCCTTCCTGTTCTGGCCACTCGCTCCCCTCCTCCTGTCATTGACTGAGCGGTGATTGGCTTATTTTACCAACACGGACGTCGTGCGTAGTCCACAAGTGTGTTCAACCAATTAAACTTGCTATCTCTGGTTGTGTTCTGCATAGTAAAGTCAGAATGTTTCTATGACATAGGCATTAAGTATCTTTGCTAAACCAACAATTTAACTTTGTCACTTACTGCCTTAGCAATAAAGAGTGAATGCTCATGAACGCAATCTATATCGCCTTACATTTTATCCAACGACGAATGTATTGTTCATCTCAAAGTTCAAACTAGCTAGTAAGCCTCTTTTCTCCCTCTCCCCTTCTCTCTCTCTCTCTCTCCCTCTCTCTCTCTCTCTCTCTCTCTCTCTCTCTCTCTCTCTCTCTCTCTCTCTCTCTCTCTCTCTCTCTCCTGCTCTCCTCCTCCTCCTCCTCTCTTTTCACGCTGACTGTGTATAGATAACTATCACCAAATACCGTGTCCATACATATTTATAGGTGTACACTACACTCACAACACAACATGATTACTCTCATTTACTGTGCTACAGTTTAAAGTAAAATTTCCCTAGCCATTGTAATTATAACACTGAACAACTTTTGTATTGAGGGTACATGAAATCAATGATGAATATATCCAAACAGTTGCATTTATAGCGTACCGGTTTCGTCGGCAGGCTTCGTCAACGTCAAGGCATCGAAAAAGTGTGATTGTTCTCTGTTTTCGATACCTTGGCGGTGACAAAGCCTTCAGGCAAAACCGGTACGCCAAATGTAACTGTTTTGGCATTTTTATCGTCGAATTTCTTGTGCACTCAATACATTACGTAACCATGTTTCAGCTCTATGGAGAACGCATGCATGCCGTCTCAAGCAGGGGTTCCCAGCTGTCTTGCGGTACAGCCTAACTGCAGGCGTCGACAACTAACGCCATCTCGGGAGAGGCATGTCAACTAATAGTATGTATTTATAGTGCCCTCTAGGGAGCCGATTTCCTACCTTCGGTTGGAGGTACCGGTGGGAGTAGGGTGAGGGGCGGGGGAGGAGGGGGGGGGGGCATTTCGGGCTCCCTATATTTGCCTCCAAAACTATTGGGCCAACTTTACTGATCACATAGCGCCCGATAGTAGCCTCTGAGATAGGATAGCAGGTGACACAGCCCTAACCCAGTCGGGCCCGGTAGGCTCTTCGTCTTCATGTCTATCGCCGCAATTAAAGAAGTTCAGGAAACAAAAGCGGTACCAAGTGAAAGGTCATAACATGACATTCTAAAGCATCTATTTTTGACCGAGTTACATTGCTTGGTTGCAGGTTTGACATCCATAGCATCCTATTCCTGACGCCATTTTCGTTGTCATAGTATTTATATTTTTATTCATAAATGTGCAGTAGCTCGTATAAAGAGCTCGTTATTGTGAAACAAACCTGCCATCCTTAGCAGGGCCAACATCTTATCTATGTACTAGAGTAACCTATCAATCAAGGAACTCTCGGCCTCACTGTCAGTAAGGTGTATCCTCAATCCGTAAAAATGTCGTGCAGCTGCTCATCGGTGGTAACCCAAGTCATGGCCTTGACCAAAGTCCTCGACGTGAGCACAAAATAGTGTCGTTGATAGTATAGCCCAGCGTGAGCACAATCAGCTGTTTATGTTCCCGGAATAGTGCGTTGCGTCCCATTTGTGTGTTATCTAGCAGGCCCTACAGCGATAGTTCATGGAAAGAAGAGCGCAGCCTCGTACCGCTATATCACACATCGTGGCAGCATGCAGTGTTTGGTGGAGGTATATTTAGCAAAGCTTACTATCTCGGTATCACATAAATAGCTCTGTGTTACATACATTGTTTGGTGGGTCAACTGTATTCAGAGATTCGTGAACGACGCCATAGGGCAGTTTAGTGAAAAGCAGCCTCTTCGACCGGATGCGCTTATTTGCTAAAAATATCGCGGATTTAGCCATCATGAGTTTTGTCGTTTGAAGAGCAAGCATCTGACTAGGGCGTTTTATGCAAACTTACCGCTTTGATCTTGTGTCTGGAGTAAAAGATGGGCAGTTTTCATGTTATTCCATCACAAATGATATGAGAAGAAGCAATGCCAATTGGCCATGCAATAATTTTGATGTAACCCCTGTATTTGAATGATGAATGCTGCTGGCGCTTTCTAAATGATGCAACATGTGATATCATCCAGTGCGGCCGTTGATGTTCAGCTACCATGCGAACCAAAAGATCGCATATATGTGATGTAGATCAACTGAAACTCTATGTACTCGTGAATAATGCATAATATCTCCAAGTGGTTCCCAGTAAGTGTCCTCAGATTTTCCAATCCGTTAAATCTGCGTGTTATGATGGATAAAGATACATTTGCTGCCCCAATATCCACAGTTTCGTCAGAATGCTAAAAAGTTGCTGTCACCGACACTTCAATCGAGTCATGACTGCCGTTCCGGCACGGGCTCTGTTGCTGGCGGCATTGCCGGGCGCCATGCTCCCTCGCCCACGATGACCCCACTGTCCCCTTGTCTGGGTCGCAGCCAGACCCCCGTCCCCTCCCCACCGGATGGCCGCCACCATTGGCGCCGTCTGGGCGCAGACCAAAGCAGCACGACCCCAAAACGGGCCACATCGCGGCGGGGGCGGTCCCGGTGTCGAGGACGGGGCAGGGCAGGAGGGGCGGGGAGGAGAGGGTAGAGGAGGGGGGAGGGCTGGGAGCGCCGAATGACTCCAGTAGCAGCTCGGGTCATCACAGTGACGACTAGGCCCAGTGGGGGTCATGAGCCGCCCTGCTGCCGACGGGTCGCTCCACCGCCATAGTCAAGGCACCATCTCGTCGACATCTGGGTTTATGACAGAAGTCAATGACGCTTTGTCAATGAGTGACAGCTACGGTTATGGCTCCCAGCACACTAGTTACAATAAATATAATTCATTGCTCTAGTCTCAATGACTTGAATAATCTAGAAACGATGCCAGAAATGTGTAAGACATTGCGACGACCTCAAGCACAAGGTCAAAGTACAAATTCTTATTAAAGTCTTATTAAAATACGGTACAAAGTCTTATTAAAATCAACTAAATGTAATAATTTCATTTTCGTAAACACTGCCTGCTTATGCATTGCATTCAAATGATATGGAAGAAAAAGAAAAAAATGAATTGTTCTTTCCGGGTCATGTATCAGGATTCCAGATCACTTCGCTGAAATCAAGTTATCGATGCTGATGCATTTTTTAACTTTTACAGCACTTACAAGAATGACTGGATAGTCGAGAAGTGGCTTTTGTTGTAACAAATAATATTCAACTACATTAATGCGATTGAATGTTGATACCTGTTGTACATTCCTGTTGTACATGTTGTACATTGAATGTTGTACATTCATGTTCACTTTTTCACCAAAAAATGGGAGAAAACTTTAAATAGTCAAAGAGAGAGGAAAGAAACACAGATGAAGAAAAAAAGAAAAAAGGGAAGAGAGAGAGAGAGGGAGAGAGAGAGAGAGGGAGAGAGAGGGAGAGAGAGAGAGAGAGAGAGAGAGAGAGAGAGAGAGAGAGAGAGAGAGAGAGAGAGAGAGAGAGAGAGAGAGAGAGAGAGAGAGAGGAGCTCACCGGGTTCGATTGGTGTTCGATTGGCGCCCGCGACCGCTAGGTCAACGGCGCGGTGTCTGCATTTGCTCCACCCAGTAATGAGGAACTGCTGGGGCTGCCCAGACCTGCCTCCTATCAGTGGCTGGCGGCGCGGTGAGCTGAGAGGGGATGGGTTCGGGGGAAGGCAGACGGACCCGGGGGACGGCAGACGCCGAGACGGGCCCAGGGGACGGACAGATGGGAAGATGGACGGCTCTGACGTCAGGCACTCGGAATTAGAAAACGCAACGCTCATGAGCTGATGACTTCCAAACAGTTCGGTGGGCTATGAAAGCTGACCGGCAGCTAGTGCAAACACAGCACGGGCTACTGAATCCAGCTAATGTTTGATTATGTGATTGCCTTGCGATACCTTCGCATATGTGGTTATCAAAGACGCTACTCAGAAGTGCTCAGAGAAAATCCCTCTTACGCGACCTCCACTTGCCAATTGAGTTGGCTGCTCCCCGGGGTAGGCTCTGCCGTAATTACATCCACCATATCGAAAAACGGCGGCGGAAGTCGCCGCCAGAATACAGCAATCTAATTGAATAGGTCCAGCTCTGTTGAGTGGTCTCCTCGTCGCCTAACAAAGTGTGGATATGAGATTGTTGTGACGTCAACACAGCTCAATTGTCACCTGACATTTCTGTTTGAGAGTCTGTTTTTTCTATTTTGGCAACGTTGCAGATTGATTGGTTGCAATTAAATACGACAAAAATGACACAATGGGTAATTTGTACCTTTCCTTTTGGTAACGTAATTTTATATGATCTATCAATCTTGCAATAATTTCAATTGCATGCGTTGAACGGCTATGTAATATTCAGATAGTTATTGATTTATCACTGACCTTTACGAACATCCTATGGCCAATTTTTATTGTGTTTAATACACAGCGCATCACCCAGATAATTTTGATGTATGTCTTGTAGGTATTCTAGCCTAGGCACTCATGTCAGATCATGTTCAGACACAGGATATCCTCTAATGTGAGCGTCTCGCCAAGCCACATATTGTTTCATTCGCCCTCTCCAGCCAGCCTGTCTGCCTACACCTCCCTCTTGTCCGCAGTTCCTTGCTATCCGTGGCTGTGAACGATCCTTGAAACCCCACAAAGGCTCGCGGCGGTGCGACTCGCAGGCGACCCACCCTATTCACGTGAATAGTTACGAACTCCAGCGGAGAGGATCCGGCCCGAAATTCAGATGAAAAGAAAATGTCCTGGATACACGCGGAACGCACTAAGGAAGATACTTGTGTCTTGCTACTGCAATAATCCCTGCTACGTGTAGCGGGCAGTTCTGATTTATGGTGTAAAGATTTGCATTGACCATGCCATGGCGCGGTGTTCACGATGGCGTCTGCCGCACCGCAGCGCGCTCCCACATCATGTAGCCCCTCTCACGCGGTCGGCGGACGGGCTGCGCAGGAGGTGGGATGGGTGGTGGTGGGGGGAGGGGAGGGGGGCGTTAGTTGGTGGGAGAGGGGACAGCGGGAATCGATGGCCGGCTAGGAACCCAGCTGGGAGAGCCTGAGTGCCCGGCCGGCCGCGGCGACTCTCCCGTCGAGCGACCCAGATACGGGCCCCGACCCACGGCCCTGGGGGACCCGCTCACATGCAGGGGGTGCGCAGACCAGGGTCAACCCCTGGCCACAGAGGGAGAGCTGGCAACGGGTCGGTGACGAGGCGGTTTGTCAGTAATTCTGATGATGGAAACTTGAGCTCGGACTATTTTATGAGAGGCACCGGCGATGATGCAGGTGCTGCCTATATTCAGAAGTTAAGAGCGTTGGTGTGGTACTTGCATATATCCGAGCTCCCATGCAATTGAACACAGTGAATGTTAATTTTTTCATTACATCCCGCTCAACTTGCATCACCACATAAGGTCATAATTATTTTAGTGTTCTAAACTTAGTTTTAAAGAATAGAAAGATACATATGTGTAGTGAGCCAGTACAACGCGCAATGCAATTACGAACAATTTGACTTGAAATTAAATGCTATCTGCCTTTTGCTATTACATGTTGTCCTGCTCCCGCTGTGTATAAAGACAAACCACTTACCTGCACCCTCCAGGTGCGTTAGTGAGTGCCTGTCGGCGAAATTAGATGCTCTCAGCCGTTCGGCACTTAGTTCTAATGCAGGCCCAATCGGCTAATGCCGTGTCCGAGCTCAAACAAGGTAGGATTTTGCCTGGCTTAGCTCGGACAATCCTGATTTATAAGCATAGCATGTTGCATTCGATCCAAACCCAGTTAGATATTTGTCAAACTAGATGTTGTACTCCTTCCAAATATTTGCGTTTGTTGAGCTGAGCTAGGCCTTACAAGCAATTAGCCATTAGATGGTATACTCAGGCGAGAGTCTTGTCTAAATGAAAACATTGAAAATATGTATATGATTCACTAAACATTGAAAATATGAAAACGTGACAGAGTCCGTCGCACAGATGTGATAGATATATTGTTTTTTTTTTTGTATCGATGTCATATATACCAATGCGTTTGCAAGTTGCTGAGCTACAGATGAATATATTGCAATATTATATATAATTGCATGGTTGGGACGAAATCTTCTGATGAATTTACTTAATTAAGAAATGTGCGGCAATGCCTGCGAATTGTACCGGGTAATATTTCTGCTAGCATAACAGGCCATCTTTTCTATCCTGGCTACCGCGATCAGACGACCAGCGGAGGTAAATACAGTCCTGGACGGAGACACAGAGCGTGCATGCAATCGACAGATTAACCCACATTGAGAGCGTTGACCCTTTCCATGCAGTGGGACCGCATCGGCTTATGGAGTACTTACGTTGAGTAGCGCATCGCCTATTATGCAATTTAGCGAGCTCTTTATTGGGATATTTCAATAAAGCGTCTTACTTTGCGGCTATTTCTGACATCATTATGATTATTCAGATAGCTGCGTTAATACAAAATGTCAAGTGACATTCCATACACTGTGACATTATACGAAAGTCATATGCATTACTGGTGTGGTTATTGACCGCTTTTGGAAACATATTGCTGAAAGTAACGGTTCAAGTAGACGCGTTTACGAAAAACAGTCGCGCAGACTGTCAAGAAAACAGACATCTTAAAATCTTTCGTTCGAGGCCACCCTCCATAAACGATGATTCATGACCAATTTTGAGGAAAGTGGCTTCTTCGCAAAATCGTCCAGTCAAAGTTATCCCTTATTTCAAACAATAAGTAAATACCTCTCACCAACCAAATGCTTAAAACTGTCTCTTTCAATTACACATTTATGGCAGACCGAGCTATTTGCTGGGCCATTTCATTCCACCCAGCCCCCGTCAAGGGACCTTCTCTCAGCGCCGGCACACTCTACTAACGGCCACCTCCGCAGCGTCCCCTTTGCCCGGTGAGCATACCAATCCAACGGCTCCCGCGGATCAATGTTTGACCTTTCAGCTCCACCGGCCGCCGGCGACCGGGCGGCGCCCTTTGATCCGAGCGCCGGGTGACCTGACCTCTGACCCCGCTGTCTGTCCGTCAGGAGGGACAGGGCCAGTGGCTGGCGCTCCATCTGGAGCCTGTTGTCAACGCCAGTGGCGAGGTAGTGGGCACGCGCAACCCCACCGGAGACGATGTGCTGCTCGACTGCCGCTTCGAGGTGCCGTTCGGTGAGTTTTCGAGTCTGTTCGATGAGTTTGGAGCCGCGCGATAAACTGCTCTCGGTGCCACGTCGGCTCGACATCATGCATAGCAAATGTCGCTGATGCATAGCTGAGTGAGCTGATCAGTTTTGTCACCTGTGTCCCCGTGCACTTTGTCAGCCGGGAATGGGTTGATGTCCTGCTGAAGCGCTCTGTATTGTGCTTAATGATGCCGCTTTAGAACTCGTCGTAACTCTTCCTGCAGGCGACGGTATCAACCCATTGACTTGCCGCCGAGAATGTCATTAAATGATGGCTGGAGATCGTCATTCGATAGAGCTTTACTACTCTGCTTGGTGTCAAACTGTCACAGGTGCACTTGAAATTCAAATCAGTTGGAGACCTTCCGCAGCTTACACTGTGTTCGGTGAAAACTGAAATCCAATGTTCCAAAATAGCCATGCCTGGAGAACCGATGAATAGGAATTGATTCACGTGATGCCTTTTTAAGTCCTATTCCGGTCCAACTTTGGAACAGCCTCTTCCTAGCCAAGGTGTCCCCCAGTCCTCAGACTAAAAAAAAAACCATATCCTCCTTACCTGGTGGCTGTCGTGTGTCGCGTTCGTCGTGTCGCCGCCGGGCAGATCGTATCGTGTCGCCGCCGGAAGCACGCGTCGGCCCACCACCGAGAATCGATGTGTGTGACCGATTTCAGACATGATGGACTGCGACGCCGGTGAGCTCCAGCGTAAGCTGGAGGTGCTCAACGCGGTCATGGCCTCGGATCCGGCGCCGGCCAGCCTCGGCGCGCCCGTCGGTGGCGGCGGGGGCGGGGGCGGGGGCGGGGGCGTCACCGGCGGGCGCCCGCTGCACCAGCTGCAGCAGATATGTACGCCGAACCACGACACTCACAGTTAGGGCCTACTCTTCTAGTCGTGCTACCCGCTGGCTGGCGTCTGTCCAACCCTTCAGTTCTGTTAGCCCTCGCTCCGACTTGCTGTCAGTCTGTTTGTCAGCTTGTTTGTCTGTCTGTTTGTTTGTTTGTTTGTTTGTCCTTCGAACTGCTTGTCAGTCTGTTTTGTTATTCACCAGTATAACGCCTTTGGGGCGACTAACGGAGCGAGCGAGAGGGTGAGCCTTGCACGTGCGAAATTTCGAGGGGGTACCTCCAGTTGACTTGTGCACGGCACCCTACTAACCGGTCTCTAGCGATGTGCCGAATTTGAGCACAATCGGCCCAGCCGTTCTCGAGATCTGGAAGCGGCACCCTGCACGTGCGCACGTGCAAAATGGGTCCCAACTGACTTTTGCACGGCACCCTACTAACCGGTCCCTAACCATGTACCAAATTTGAGCGCCATCGGTCCAGCCGTTCTCGAGATCTGGAATCGACCCCTGCACGTGCGCACGTGCAGCAGCACCCCAACTCTGGCACATGGGTATGCATTGCCTAGTGGGTGCCTACCTACATGCCAACTTTCAGCGCAATCGGCCAAGTAGTTACGGAGATATTGCAACAATTAAAAAAGTGACACCTCTTCGTTTTGCACGTGGCACGTGCATAAGGGGTCACCCACATGCATCGGGAATAGTCCAATACTTGGTAGAAGGAATGAAGCTACCCTACAAAAATTACCGCGTGTAAATCGGTCGAGTGGTTGCTGAGATATAAGCCTCGCAAAAGCGTGACCACGGCCGGCCGGCCGGCCGGCCGGCCGGCCGCTCATACTCAGAAATTTCCGTTAATCTAAGGAAAGACTACGCTCGCTTCGCTCGCTCCGTAACCATTCTCACTGCACTCAAAATTAAAAGTTTGTTTTACTTTGCGTCACAAAATGACTGATTTAATTATTGTTATATTGTTGCAGTATACTAACTATGCATATGTATTTACGCTTTTTCCAAAAGGCATAACAGTAACGACAATGGACAGGTTGACAAAGAAAGATAAAACGCGTAAAGGCTTTGCTACACTATGCGTTTTCTGCGTGCGTTTTTTGCGGATTTGCGGGTTTTGCGTAATATTGTTCTAGAAAAATAACGATATTACGTGTTTGTGATGTTTTTTATCTTAAATTTTAGTTAATATAGAAGTTGTATTAACTTTTAGATATAACTAATCTAAAAGGTATATTATTTATAACTTTTCTAGAACGATATAACGCAAAAAAACGCAAACACGCAGAAAACGCATAGTGTAGCCAGGCCGTTGCTTCATTCGCTCAACGAGCATATTTTATGACGCACTGTTTACATTTTAGTGTAGACATATTAGAGGCTGCATCTTTTTCGATTTTATGTTGCCTTCCTATTTTGTTTTGTTGTATTTGAAACTAAGTTAACAACCTCACTGGATCGCATGCTACTCCTGCACACGTAACAGTGTTTTGTATTTAAACATAATAAAATATAAGGCATTAATGAAAACCATTCCTAGTTAATATGGTGGGTAAATTTTGCTCATATTTCCCCACCTTGATGAAGAATATGCGCTGTGCCCAGACACCTTTTAAAAATACCAGTATAACGCCTTTTGGGGCGAGTAACGGAGCGAGCGAGAGGGTGAGCCTTGCACGTGCGAAATTTCGAGGGGGTACCTCCAACTGACTTGTGCACGGCACCCTACCAACTGGTCTCTAGCGATGTGCCAAATTTCAGCACAATCGGCCCAGCCGTTCTCGAGATCTGGAAGCGGCACCCTGCACGTGCGCACGTGCAAAATGGGTCCCAACTGACTTGTGCACGGCACCCTACTAACCGGTCCCTATCCGTGTACCAAATTTGAGCGCCATCGGTCCAGCCGTTCTCGAGATCTGGAAACGACCCCTGCACGTGCGCACGTGCAGCAGCACCCCAACTCTGGCACATGGATATGCAGTGCCTAGTGGGTGCCTACCTACATGCCAACTTTCAGCGCAATCGGCCAAGTAGTTACCGAGATATTGCAACAATTACAAAAGTGACACCTCTTCGTTTTGCACGTGGCACGTGCATAAGGGGTCACCCACATGCATCGGGAATAGTCCAATACTTGGTAGAAGGAATGAAGCTACCCTACAAAAATTACCGCATGTAAATCGGTCAAGTGGTTGCTGAGATATAAGCCTCGCAAAAGCGTCCGCACGGCCGGCCATACTCAGAAATTTCCGTTATTCTACGTAAGACTCCGCTCGCTTCGCTCGCTCCGTAACAAATGACCGCCACTTAATTATTAATATGGCTTTCAGGAACTAACCAAAACATGCATCTAGATCACGATATATGATAAATAATAGGCTTCGTTAGTCCTAATTAACATATTTATTATCAGTGCTATATAATTAAACATTATTAGATATCAAACTAATGTATCTGTCCGTCAAAGAAAGTTAAATTTATACACCATTGATTCTATTGGCATGCTCTCTTGGTGAAAATGTGATGTCCTTTTTCGTATATCGTTAGATTTGCTTGAGATGTGGTTGTTGTGCGTATCAGTGGCGTATCCAGGATCTTGGAAAGGGGGAGGCCAAACCTGCTCGAGGGGCCCCATCCTTACCTTAGGGGCCCCAGTAGTATAGCGTACTTAACTCACGCCCAGGTGCGGTTCTTTGCCACTTTTGCCATGTGAGGGAGCCTTTTTAGGCACACCGGCAATCTAAAAAAAAAAACGTTGAAACGTGAAAAAGGCATCGATATCGATAGCTCTGTAGCGTACAATTTATTTCAGCAGTAGGCATATAGTTTTTTTTTTTGCTTTGGTCGTCGCTAGGGTCACTAAAGATCATCAAAAGCAAAATGTCTTAGCCATTTTTTTAAGATTGTAACATTTTTTAAAGGGCAGATGTCAGTCTCTTAGTGTCTTGCGCTGGTTGAGGGCTGGTACCCTTAACTTTAAAAGGGCCTGACTCGGTTTGAGCTCTGATCTAGACTCTGATGGCTCTATGTCGCCCACATTGGCCTCACTCCGACCTCTGAAGGCTCATTCTGGCCTCTCAAAGCCCCACACCGGCAACAGAGTGAACCACGCTGGCCTCCGGGCCCCATAATGGCCTCAGGAGACCCATGCTATGGCTGACCTCACAGGGCCCCCCGCTGGCTCTTGGGAGCCTTTGAGTCAGGCTCTGATGTCCCTATGCCGCTCTCGAACCCACGCCGGTCTCTAGAAGCCCACGATGTCCCCTGAGGGTCCCACGCATGCCTTTAAGGGCCACCCCTACCTTAGGGCCTCAGGGGGCCCAAACATGCATAGGGTCTGAAGAGTGGCTGCCGAGGCCCTCGAGGTGGTCTCTAATGGCCTGACGCCAGCCTATGAAGACCCGCGCTGGCTTCTGAGGGCCAAGCTCCAGCCTCTCAAATCTGGAGTCAGATGACAGATGGCCCCACGCTGGCTTCAGAGGGTTCACGCTGGTCACAGAGGGCCCCACACTTGCCTAAAAGGGCTCCACATTGTCTTCAGAGGGCCCCAAGCTGGTCTCCGTGGCCAATGGACCTCAATCTGACCTAAGAAGGTCCCATGTCTCTGGGCTTAAAAGACCCAATGCTGGACATCGACGGCCCCACGCTGGACATAGAGGGTCCAACACTGGCCTTAGAAGGCCCCACAATGGCCTTAGAGGGCTGAGCGCTGGCCTTAGAGGGCTGAGCGCTGGCTCCTTAGGGCTCTACGCCAGCGTCAAAGGATCCCACGCTCAAGTCTAAGCTTTTTTTATGGCCGCCAAAGCGACCTCTGAGGGCTCCACGCTAGCCTCTCGGGGCTCAGCCTTGGCCTCTAAGGGCCCTACGCTGGCCTATGAGGGCCATCAAATGGCATTTTAAGATAGTTTGACGCAGTTTGACCCTGAAAGTTACTGGTGGCCCTTCATAGGCCGGCAAGGGACCCTCAGAGGCCGGGAGGCCCTCAGAGTCGCTGGTAAGTGGTCGTCAGATGCGCTGGCCTAGGGCCCTCGGAGGCGCCAGAGGCGCCTCAGAGCCACCGAAGTAGGCCCTTAAGAGGCACTGGTGTGGGACCCTTAGAGATGGCAGTGAAGGCCATCAGAAACTGGTGTGGACCGTGGGGCCATAACAAACGGGTATGGGGCCCTTACAGCTGATCCCTGATTGGCCGGCAACGGCCCTCAGAGGAAGGCAAGGTCCCTCAGAACCCGGCGTGGGGCCCTTCTGGAGATAAGTGTGACTACACAAGAGACCATGGGGTGTTCTCACAAGCCCTGTGATGTCCTTTCCAGTTGAAGCGTGGCCAGCGCGAACCCTCTGCTGCCAATTGGCACCGCAGGGTCCTCGGGCCCGAGGGGACCCTAAACCTTATAACGGACATGTGTCCCTCGCCCCTGGCTATGCCGTTGAATCCAAGTGATCAGGGGCTGTTCAGGTGATCAGGAGCCTCTCAGGTGACCAGGGGCCTTTCAATTGACCAGGGGCCCACCAGGTGACCAGGGGACCTTCTGATAACCGGGGGCCGGTTATACCAGGAGCTCCACGGGTACCTAAATGCCTTCATGTGACTGCAGGGGCCCTTCATATAACCAGGTAATCCCCGGGTAAACATGGCCCCTTGGGCGACCAGGGTTTCTTCAGGACACTGGCCAGGGGCCACCCAAGGGATCAGAGACCCCTCAGGTAGCTGGGGGTCCCTTAGATAACCAGGGGCCCCTCAGATAGCCAGGGGGTCTCAGGTAATTACGGGCCCCTTAGGTAATCAGGGGGCCCTCAGATAACCAGGGGCCCCTTAGGTAACGCAGGGGCCCCTCAGATAGCCAGGGCCCCTCAGGTAATCAGGACTCCTTCAGATAACCACGGGCCCCTCAGGTAACCAGGGCCCCCTCAGATAACCAGGGGCCCCTCAGACAACCAGGGGCCTGTCAGATAACCAGGGACCCCTTAGGTAGCCAAGGGCCCCTCAGATAACCAGGGGCCCCTGAAGTGACCAGGGGCCCCTCGGGGCCCCCGTGGGCCCCATTGGGTACGTCACTGCACTCAAGTGACCCAAAGGGCCCACTTGCATGTTTGATGCCAAAGGGGGAGGCCATGGCCTCTTGGCCTCCCCCCCTGGATACGCCACTGGTGCGTATTGTAATTTGTACGTACATACATAAACAGCCCTTCTATTGTAAATTGATAATGGTGAGCACATGCTGAAATAAGTTAGATACAGAAATAGGAACATTGTTGAGCGTGCAAACCTAACTTAAAGACAATCCATCGGAGCCGGCCATCGTTCCATGACTCATATGTCAGAACATTGTCACAAGGACACCAGTTGCTAGCATTCCAACAATAAAGTTAAAAAATATTACCCCACCCTTTGAATCGCCGACGTGCGGAAGTGCCACCAGCGGCGCAGAAAGTCCACATTTCCCACTAGGGCGCCAGCGGGCTCCATGCGGGCACCAATGCCGCCATCGCCCCGGGCACCGGTCCAAGGTCCCGGGGGCTCGTGGCCGTCACTTCCCGCCATAATTACGCTATGGCGCGCCGTCGGTCGGCTGTGACGTCACCCGTCGGCGCCAAAGTCTGGCGTGTCACGGGTAACAGCGCCACAAACATGGCCCTGGTCGGTCGCCGGGACTTTTCCCTGTGTCAGGTCGGCTCATGCCACCTCACCGGTGCGACACACCGACTACAATGGTGGCCAGTGCGCGACATTGTGCTTCGGAGCGCGGAGCCACGTTGGTCCCCCGCCGTGGTGTGATTTCTTTGGCTCGGAAATAATGAAGAAATACAACCAGAACATTGAGCCTATTCCGGGGCACTATTTACGTAATGAAACTGGCCCGGGCATACTGGGCAATGACATCCAGCGTGATGAAAGAACCTCTACGAAGAAGCACTCGTTTACGGAATGCTGCGCTCCTAGGACACAACGAATAGGGCGCCAATGTCTGCTTAGTTTATGACAATTCAACACGAAAACTATATTTTGAAACAGGAAATACACACACATTTTACGCGTCCAACACAAGTCAACAATTTCCAAAAATTACTATATATGGGTGTTGTCCCATTGTAGTAACAACACCCAAGTGCATGACTCCCTACCCTTACCCCAGTACCCCGACCTCTTACCCCACCCCTTCACCTGACTTTATCTGGTGCCACGTAGCGGGCGTCTCGGAGGACAGTGACTACACGAGCGACATCGGCTACCCGATCGGCCAGAACCCCAACTCTTCCGCCTCCCAGTACCTGGGCGCCGCCAGCATCTGGCCGGCTCGCACCAGCTGACGGCCGACTACGGAAACGGAGCTTACCCGAGCCACCCAGAGATGTCGCCAGGAGCGGGCTGGCCCGAGGAGGAGCTCTTCTACAACAGCCGGCCTAACGGCCGCGCCGCCACCAGGTAGGCGGTCGGCAGCGATTGGAGAACAGTTTGCTCGCGTTATTATGTTTGGTGGCGCGGTTGGCGAGAGGTCAGTTCGGGCAAGGGTAGCAAGGGCCCTGATTCGATTCCCGTCGGCTCTCGTGCTCCGACTATTCGCCCCAGCTGGTTGCCAGGAGCGGGTTTGGTTGTAGCGATTGGCGCATCCTAAATAGATTATAAATAGTTTCTGTGCTAAGCTTTGTAGTGCAAAACAGCTACAAAAGCATACAGCAGCCATACAGAGTTAAAATCATGGGTCTGGGTATGTTTGTTTTGCGATAATTAGAGATGCAAAGACTACTACCGCTCCCTGGCACAATAATCACAACTTTCTTTATGGTTGATTCCCGACCTGACGTGGTTGATGCCCTTGTTTTCAGCCAACCTGTGCACACAGCAAGGACGCCAGGAACGCAGCTGACGAGGAATGGTAAGTGACTTTAATGTCTGACGCATGCACGTTGAATGTCGATCACACTTTGCATGGATTGTAGGAAAATGATGGACCAAGGAGAGAAGTGACTAATAAGAGATGCAAATGTTTAGCGATATCAGTAGGCCACACCATAACCCAGAGTCTTGAGGATCAGCAGAAGGCAGGGTCCAAAGTGAACGCGTTCCGGGAATACGTACCACGAAGTTCGCTCTTTAGGGTTCGTGCCATAAAGGTCGAAGCATTGCAAGATGGAAATCCACCTTTGTTGGTAGACATCGGGGAGGAGAACTGTGGGTCATGGCCCCGTCGAATGCGACTTATCCTCACTCTACACTTATGGAAGTGCATAGCACTGAGCCTCCGACCATCAAATTTTTGTTGCTGTACCCTCCAACCTTTCGAACCCACAACTGATGGCCTATGGCCACCAACGTCCACCTTCATTCGCTGAGTGTACTTCCAGAATGGCCTATCGTTCCCACATTTCTGCCATTTCCACCGATATCGCGGTGCGCCGAAGAAGTCCCCGGCTTGTCGCCAAATTGGGATCACTCACGTCACCATCAAGTGCCGTGTGACCAAGAATATGTCGGCGGTGGCGCGGCCTGACGCTCATAACGGCACGGGGGACCTGCTGCATCAATAATAGCCTGGAATGCTGGGACGGTCACACTGCCTGATGCCGGTGGCGACCCTAGCCGGCGCCGCCGGGTCGACCCCCCCCCCCCTCAGGTCCGGTACCCCCAGACGTCTGTGATGACGTCACCGTATCGGGGGCGGCAACCCCGATTGCGGCCTCTGCCCACCGCCCACCGCGAAACGCTTTTACCAGGAACCTGATAACCTCGTTACCGGCTGGTAGTGGTCGCCCGCGGTGCCTGCTTTTGGCCACGGGCGCCGGCTGTAATTGGGCTGCTGAGAGGGCATTAGGCGCCGGTGGCGGCCACCTGGTGATTGAGCCTCTGACGGGTGCGAGAGAGGGACCGACGCGGCGCACAGTGCACCGAGCCGCCGAGCCGACCGCACCTCCACCGCTCACCGGCGCAAAAAGTGTTATTAGCACGGCGGGGAACTGTGCCGCCGCGCGACGCACCTTTATTGGATTGATATTGCGTGTTTGCGTCATTTCTGGGGTAGCTCTTATCATCACAATATGAAATATTGAAATTGAAGAGCCGCAAATAGCTACGTGCGTGAGTTTTGACAGCATAAGAGTGAGTTTTGTTGAAAAGACTGAATGTTATTATTCGCTGTAAACTGATTATTGATACCTTAGCCGCATGTCTCTTTGAAAACGGAATGGCATTACTTTATTTGCTATGATGGTGAGTGGTAGATATGCATTCATTGCTGACTTACTCAATTTTTAGCTGTGAAGACTTCACTACACGGTGTGACTATCACTTCACTGAGAAGACCTCACTGCACGATCACTTGCCTCGTACCCGTGCCTTGCCCAACTGTCCTGACATATCCAGATGCTCTATCGTTTCAAGATGTACTTACCATTTCCAAGCTCTAGGCGAGCAGCCCTTCGTACCCTTACCCCGCGATGCTCTCCCCAGCTACCCCCTTTTCGCCCTGTTCTCCCTGTCCCATTCTTGTGCTCCTTCCTGTTCTTCCCATGTCCCCACCCTTTCCGCCCCGGCCTGTTCTACCCTGTCCCGCCTACCCCTTCCAGCCTGCCCTGCCCTACCCAGCCGTTCTAATAATCTGTTCCCCTTGCCCTATCCAGACTTCCCAGTATATTCCACCCAGTCCTACTTGTGATGTCGTTGTTGTCCTGTCCTGGTGATCCCATGATAGCCGAGCTGCAGTCGGTAGTCTGTATTGGAGCACGTCCAGAAGCACACTGACCCCCCATAGCAGAAACACACGACATCGACTTCACGAGCAAACGCATAAAACGGACAGCCAATAAGATGCCGCGTACGACCGGTCACGTGATCGGCCTGCCCCGCGGCGGCAGGCGGACGGCCCGGCCGCGACCCGACAGGGGCAAGATGCTGTGCCGGCGTACCGACTGGCCACGTTCATAACACTACTTTGCCGTTCTGGCCTGTTTTATATCCCGTCCTACTCTGTCATACTGACCTGTGTGATGGCTCCACAGTGTCGGAGACCGGTCGACGCCACAGTCTGGAGCGCCAGACCACCCTGTACGAGGAGCACCCGATGGAAGGCGACCCGTACGGCGTCGACAGCTGGCCGGCTGCCCAGCAGAGGTACTATTACCACGACCCGTACCGACCCGACCCGTCGCCCACTACCCGGTCATCAGGTGAGAGAGTGGCCGCCCCCTCTGCCGCCGCCGCCGGGCGGTGCATGCCGCTAAATGTGACCGGCTGCTGCTCGCCTGTCTGTCGGAATGGATGTCCTCGCACTCCGGAGAAGCCCGAGGTCGATACTCGGAGTCGGCAAGAGGTGACGCGGCAGTGCTCTCTCTCGTGTCACTGAGATCAGTGCGTGGGCGGTGACCGGCAAAGTTGCAGAAACTGTCCGCATGACCAACTTTTCGGCTGCTGACCTGTGCGACATTGTCAGAGTCAAAGAGTCCAAATCGATTTGCTTGAACTGCAAAGTTTACCAGCCGTATGCTCTTTGTGATTTTAGTTTCTGACATGGCTGCTGAGCCAGAAATCAAGATGTAAAATATTTTCCATTGTTGCGGCCACCCCAAATGCCACTGATCGGTGCACGTCAGTGTTGCACACGCCAATCGTGGAAACGAGTCTCGCACAAATAAACCTAAAAATGTGGCTGCACCGGGTACCAAGACCGTGCGGCG